GCGGGCCCCGCCCCTGTGGCCGGCCCCCTGCCGTTCGTGGGACTGTCTGCAGCCCAGCCAGCAACACGGGCTGTAGCTATGACCATGAATGGTTGCCTCTGCTGCAGAGCAAGTCAGAGCGAGCTCCTCCGGCAGGGCCCTGTGCTGCGTCCCTGACTGCGTAAGAGCCAGCACGCGGACCGAGGGCCAGTGGGGGGGCTGGGGACAGAGGGAAGGCAGCGATGATCCCCCTGCGGCCCTGGGGCTTGATGCAATGTGAGCTGGTGCAGATCGAGGGAGGTCCTGCTCCGGCAGCCCTGCATGCACTGGGGGCAGCTACCGCATGGGGCAGGGACGGCAAAGGGACCTGCTTCCCAGCCTGGGCACAGAGGGGCCCCCTAAGCCCACGCAGGCTGGTGGAGCGAGGTGGATGGAGCTGCTGGGACTGCCTGCCAGCTGCCGAGGACTGCAGTCCAGCTAAGCGGGGACCCTGCTAGGTCCCAGAGCAGCATCTAGCTCTGGTTCAAGCAGCTCATCTTCCGAGAAGCTGATGTGCAAGCAGGTGTCGTCCACCGGGGAAAACGGCAACGTGCTGTCCATGGGGCTGGCCAGGGCGGCTAGGTTCCTGCCCAGGGCCTCACCTGTTGCAGCGTCATGGATGCTGGACAGGGGGGACACGTGTCCGTTCTCTCCAGTCCTGTCCTTGCCAAGAGCATGCTGCGAGGTCCCAGCAGGGACGAGCTCCGTGCTGGAGGCAGCGCTCCAGGCAGAAGTCCTCACCTCGGGGTCCAAGAGGGTGAGGGAACTGGCAGTGATGTTGGTGAGGCTGGACACACTGGGGCTGGGAAGGCTCACGTGGACAGTGGTCTCGGGCTTGGCGTCCACCTCCAGGCTTGGGGAGGTCTTGCTCGACCTTTTGCGTAGGATGGGTGGTGGGGGGTTGATCTTGGGAATGGGCTGCTGCCTCCTGGGGAGCAAAAGCAGAGAGAGGAGGGTGACAGGCAAGTAAATCTGTGCAGAGGACTCAGCCCAGCTGCCCCAGACTCTCCAAAAGGCAGATGCCTTTTCGACAGCCCATCAGCGCAACTCGTTGCTCATGTACCCTGGAGTGGTCTTGCTGGGGTCAATGCAGAATTGGCCCTCTTGCTTCAGGGGGACAGGAGCGGGGCAGATAGAGGCCCCCATCCCTGTCCCCATGGGTGGACACAGTGGGTCTGTTGCCCCACCTCTGCCCTCTTGGGATTCATTTGGTCTTAGTCTGTGCACAGACCATTTGCTGCCTGCCCCAGCCCCTCAGCTGCAGCATCGAGAGCACAGCCCCTCTTCCCCATCCTCCAGAGCTGTGAGCACCCTGAGGCAGGCTGTGCTGCTGCGAGACCTCCAAAAAGCCTGTTGTGGCCTCTGCTGTGACTGGTCCTGCTGGGGGAGGGAGCAGAGAGGGGAAGTGGCTGCTCCGGCTGGCAGAGGCAGAGGTAGCAGGTCCCTACCTGTCCTCATCCACCCTGCTGTCGACATCATCTGCCTTTTGCCGGCTGCTCCCGTTGAGCGGGGCGAACTCGCTGACCGCGGAGCCCTCCACACGCCTGCTGACCCCGTCCTGCCCTTCCAGCACAGCCAAGCACTCGTCCCCCTCCTTGCCGTCATAGCAGGAGCCGCCCCTCTCCAGGTTCAAGAGATTGAGGTAGGAATCCCCCGAGGCAAGGGCTGAGAGCGAGCCGGGGGCCACGGGGCTGCCCAAGATGCTGGCGGGGGTAGAGGTGGACGGCAGGTTGATGTCCAGGCTGTAGTGGTTCTTCAGGTTCAGCGACAGTGACTGGGCCAGGGACAGGTTCTGCAAGGATCGGTCGACTGGCAGGGGAGACACGAAGCGTGAGTGAAAAGCTTGAGGCCTCCAGCCCGGCCACTCCCCAGGGACCACGGCGGGTGCAGGCTGGGTGATGGGATGGCCTAGACCCCCCCGCCCAGGGCAGAGCTGCCCAGGCGTCCCGGCCCCCTCA